GCGTCCTCCTACCGTGCGGGTGTCGGGCTCCGTGCACAACCCACACTTATTCATCACCAACTATGCTAACCTTGTTTTTACTGAACCTTTTCCGATACAAGAAAAGTCGTCCGCGCCTTAAACTAGCGAGTCCACACATCCGCTAATCTCACCTCGCACGCCCCATCGTTCGACTAAAATGAGTTGAGCATGAGCCGTGTGATACTTATATAAATCCGGACTTATAGTATCACCTCAGGTGCCACTTGTGTGAAGTGCAAATATGCGAGCGAATACCCTTGTAAGGGTATTCACGCCGTACAAGGGTATTCACGCCGACAACGTGACCAGTTTTGCTTATGTCATGTGGACCGATTGTCCCAATCCAACTGGGTGGCGACTTCATGTATCCGTATTGTGACCATTCTCGTATAACGAGGAAAGGACACGTGTATGTGAGTGGGACGTGCGGGAAGCCATCGCGCTATTATTTCCTTCTCGGAACAAGGTGTTTAGGGTTTGTAGGCGTCAGTTTTGTCATTATTGATACCCACTCTTTACTATGTTTTTTTTAACGAACTGATTGTCATCTCGTGGACGACAATATGCCTTATTGGCCCAACACTCTGTTGCGACTGTCGCGGCACTTAGCGTTATCGGGAAGAGGGGTTCCGCTACCGGATACGCGACAAAGACGAATACACGAAAAGAGCGACCCGGTTTAGGCCGTCCACGTCAGATTCCGAACTCTGCAACGAGTGGCGCCGGGAGTTGATTCGAACACAAGATCCAAAGTGCGCACCCTCGTCTTTCCATTTGAAAAACCGACGAATAGCCCGCATGGAGGTTCAAAGATGTTTTTTGGATTAGGCGAACGTTTGAAAGTAGCGCGCGCCATTTCTTTCCCGCGCGGCTATGGTCCTTTCTCACTAAAATTGGAATAGCATGGTGACTTTCAGTTCTGTCTATGGCCCCACACTCAGTATTCCCAAAAATCCTTGGCACACCCCATTTTGCTGTTCTTTCAGGGCCTATTCCGCACAATTTGTCACTCCGACCGAAAGACAGAACATAGCGTGAGGTTGAACGTCACACATAGCGGGAAGTGGGGGAAATTTGCATGCATGGCGCGGTCACGGAGACAAAACGACACCAAAACAGTTATTTTCCGTTCATTATAGCTCAACAACTAATTCAAGATTGAAGAATTCAGCAAAAGAAATATCTGCGCGTGAGATTGGACGCGGGAAAATCCTACGCCTATTCAGATCCCTACTGAAAATTCACAGAGCCTTCAACCATAAGTTCCAAATTTTAAGAGAATTCCCGCTAAGATAACAGATCCAGCGGCGGGTGCTTCTACATGAGCTTCAGGTAACCAAATATGAACTGGTACCATAGGTACTTTCACTGAAAAAGATGCAAAAAAAACAACCCATAGCAATATTTGACATCGTTTGCTAAATTCTGTTGTTAATAAGATTTGTAAATCAGTGGTTCCCGTTTGAAACAAGAAAGGATACATCAGTGGGAAGTGCGGCCGCAAATGCTGGAGTTCCCCACCATCGAACAAAATTCCTAGTGCGCTCACCAAGGCGTGCATAAGTCCTACGTAAATTGATGGATCGTTGGAGAGCATTTGGAAAAAAATCCAAGAAAAACAACAAAACTTAAAAGTAGGAGGGCCTCGTCGGCCATTGATTCCATGTATCATCCACCAACCAGACAGAAGGGTACCCCTAAAGCCCATTAGAGATTAAAAAAAAGCACAAATAGCGAAAACCAGGGCTTTACCCAGGGCTTCAGAAGTTCGTTGAGAACGATTGGGGCTGGCTGGGGCTTTCAAGGCTGCACACTTGGCCTTGTCCAGACTCGGTATCTGACATCTGTACAAAAAAGGAGAAATAACATGCCAGAATGGGGGTTGGCAGGTGAAGTAGACATAATGCTTGAGCCTGGCGCCCGATGTACCCAAGTAATGTGGCTTGCTTGACTGTGCCTCAACTGGGGCTGGGTGCGGCTTCCAAGGCTTCGTGCTTGGCCCTGCCTAGCCCCGGTGCCTAGAACTACTGTCTAGTGATAGTCCTGAGTACTCGATGCTGAGGTAGGATAGTAGGGATAGGGGTGCGCCAGGAGACTTGCCAAGAGGATGGGTGGGGAGGTGGTTTTACGGAGCAGAAGGGAGTGTCAGGACAGCCAATAGCTGCGGCAGGAACCTCGTGTGTCCTGCGTCCGGAGCCCGGCTTCTACAACAACCTGGGTCCTGGGCTTTTCATTCCCAATCATGCATCGTGGTGTCCTCCAGGCTGCGTGGTGACCTCCAGGCTGCACCCTGTGCCATCTGTATATCAGTTACACCAGTATCTGGGGCGGAGACAACACACAGTAGGCTTCATGAGCAGCGGAGACAACACACCATAGTCTTCATCACCAGCCGAGGTATCAGTTCATAGGGTGCCCCAACGTACCGCCTACCAAAGTTCCATTCACCGCCTCGAGTTCGAAGAGAAGGGGACCTCTCAAGCCCACGTGAACCGTCGTCAATTTCACCCGTGAACCGTCGTCACTTCCAGGCAGAGGCCCTGGTGTTGCGTCTTCGGGAATCTGAAAGGCAGTAGGCGCGGTCAGACGCCACGCAAAAGCCCAGCTTCTGTCATTGTATGCAAGTAGGCGGCTGAATAAAATGCATGGCCCGTCTTTCGGGACTGCCTGAATAAAATACATGGCCCGTCTTTCGGGACTGCCTGAATAAAATACATGGCCCGTCCTTCGGGACATCCAGTAAATTGGAACGATACAGGGAAGATTAGTATCCGTATTTCAACAGTTCCGGGGTGACCAACTAACGGCGCTAGGCCCGCTGGCATTTGGAGGGATTCTCAGCCGACAATGAACCGACATTCCCCCTTCCTTTGCTTACTTACGGTGTTGCCGACAACTGCTCCCTTTTATTTTCTTGTGCCTTCAACCATTCCAGTTCCAGGGCACCTTCTTTTGACTGCGGCTGGTGCTGACGTCGTGATCCTCACTGTCAGGAGAAATGATCTGCGCACAAGGGTACGAACTACGTATAGACGTACGTAGGTGTGTGTGTGTGTGTGTGTGTGTGTGTGTGTGTTGCCATATTTGTTATACACTCAAAAAAAGCATGAAGGTGTGTGTGTGTGTGTGAGAGAGAGAGAGAGAGAGAGAGAGAGAGAGAGAGAGAGAGAGAGGATGTAGAATGATGAGCAGAGCGGGGCAACCGCCAGCCAGGTCGGTCTTGTCGAACTCTGCGTTCAGGACGGAGCGCGGGTGTGCTACTGGCCTTGACGGCTGTGTGTGGAACCGGCCTTACCTGTTGTGCGGCAGGAGACCCGGTCGCCACGCCGCTCGCCCATCCGCCCGCGGTCTGATGGATCTTCCCGGGAACAGCCCACGACGTTGGGGCCAAGCGCGGTCGCGCGGTCGCTGTCGGGCAGGCAAGGGCAGGGGATCAGCTCACTCATGGCCAAGAGAATACCGTCGTCTTTTTTTTTTTTTTTTTTTTTTTTTTTTTTTTTTTNTTTTTTTTTTTTTTTTTTTTTTTTGGGACCGTCGGTGTTTCGATTTCAACTGTTCACCGGGATCACAAGAGCGGCTGTGCATTTCTTGGGGCGTACTCACACTACCGGTACCACCTCAAAACGGACGTGACCGCATTAACGTCCATACGTGCATGCATGCATCTGGCCGGGATTCCCTCCAGAATTTAGTAAAAGAGTGGCAATTAACGTCGATACATGCCCTCGAGCGCCCGGCGGATGCCGTTTCCATTTTTGCCGTTTTGCCGCCTCGCGCTCTCGAAAGCCTTCGGAGTTCAAAAACTTAAAAAGACCCTGCTCAGAAGAGAAACAAACAAACAAAACAAAATGGCCCTGTTCTCTGGGTGGGGGGCCGAAAAAGAGGAAAAGGGCGGGCTCTGCTCCCGAGGAAACTGGCTCCCCGCCCGATTGCAACGAACTTTTTGGCAGTCCCGGCGCTTTCCGTGTGCGGAGGCGCCAAGAACTGCCGGGGCAAGGTCCCACTTGCACGGATTGATAAGAGATTCTGGCCGTTGATGTTTGCTATCTACGGTCGTGCAAGTGGGACCTACCGGTAGCCCCCGCAAAGGAATTCGAATCAGTGAGAATCGAACGCCCGACGTACGTCTCATATGAGACACGCACGCAGTCGCACGAAACTGAACCGCCAAAACGGAACTCCAACAGTCTTAGGGCCTCACCACACAGGCTGTCGAAATGTGCAAAACGAGAATGAACTTCACGCTAGAACATGGCCAGATGCACCTGCCACATTTTTGTCGTTCGTTTTCGCGTTTCGACAGCCTGTGTGGCGAGGCCATTAGATTTGCCCGTCATTTCGGTTCTTGGCCGCGCGTTCTCTCATCTCGGATTCTCGGTAGCGTTTCAATTTCTTTTTTTTTTTTGTTTTGTTTTTTTTGTTTAGCGTTTCAATTTCGATTCGGCGCCTTGGTCGTTTGGGTTCTTGAAGTGTACTGTCATGAAGAGAGGGAGAAAACGGGAGAAAGGGAGAAAGGGAAGACGAGGGAAAGGGTGGAATGAGCGGTTCATCCCGGCGGTTTCGTCGTCGTTTTCACTCCGAGTTTCTTGTGAGCATTCCGTTTGTCACGTGCACAGCGTGCACAGTGGGTGCTGTGTGAGTTACAGTGGCTCTTACAGTGGCTCTTCTCCGACGCTCTCGGCTTCTGCACGCTCTCATCAGTGTGCGTTTGCGCTCCAGTGTCGAGAGGTTGTTCGCCTGCACCTTCGCTTCTGTGTCGCCGATTGTGTGTCAATCTGCGTGGGGGGAGGGGGTGAGGGAGTGAGTGGGTGATGGGTGGGTTTGCCGCCCGCTCAGCCGATGATGCGTGCGAGGTTGTGCTCTGTTGGCACCCGTGAGCATGTTTTCTCTATAATGTTCCAGTCTATGCTGCGGAGCCCAGGTTCTCTCGCCTCTTGATTGGCACTTGTGCGCGTGCCTCTCTGTCTGAGAAACGGAGTGCGCTTCAGTTGCTCTCAGCGACCAGTCCAGTTCGATCGGCATGTGCGCGCACGTCCTAAGCCGAAGATTCACGAACAGAGTTCAGCGGGGGTATGTCTCATGAAAACGAGCTCGGTCAGTATCCTTTACGACCTGTTATGCCAACCAACGACAAGCAGGCAAACAGCAAACAGTCGTGTAAAGCTGGCGTTCTCGACACTTTCAGCTTCGTCTCATATTCTCGTACATTTTTCCTTTGATGCTTTTTTTTTTTTTGTGTTTGGTTTCGATTATTATCGATGGTGTTCTTTCTTTCTCTCTTTCTCCTTTCACGAACTCTTACGGTATCATCCCGAGTACAAGGACGGGAGAGTTGTATTTCGCTGAGCTGAGCGTTCTTGGGGCTTCCAGCTTCATCTCGCAGTCTCGTACGTTGTGCTTGCTATTTCTGTTGTTCTCTCGTTGTTGTTTTTTTTTTCTCCTTTTTTCTTTGGTTTCCTTTCGTGTCTTCTGTTTTTTTTTACAAGCTCCTTTTTTTTCTTTTAACTTTCTTGATCTGCCATGTTTTCCTTCTTACCAATGTGTATATGAGCATGCAAGGGTTGATGGCTGGCTGCTCCGGCGCTCATGAACGTGGCGACCGCAGGCGACATTCAATGTCCATCCATTCATCCATCCATCCATCCATCCATCCATCCATCCATCCATCCATCCACGTGCTAGAAAGCACGAGCCGTTGGGAGTTATCAAGTGGCGAGTGAACAATGATTGCCAATGAACCAAGATGACCGATCTACCGTCTTCACCCGAATGGAACGCCTGGTCATTATCCCTCTATCTAGTCTGAAAGTTGCCTCAAATACAGCTATCGTTACTTACCGCCTGGTCATTATCACTGTATCTAGTCTGAAAGTTGCCTCAAATACAGCTATAAAGTTGCCTCAAATACAGCTATCGTTACCGGGTGTTGTATTTGGACGAGAACGGCAGTTACGAAACAGGATCGTCCAGCGCAAGACACTTCGAACTAGACACCGATCTTCAGCGGGATGATGGAATCACGCTATCAGCTTTTTTTTTTTTTT